AGCAGGCTGGCAAAGAAAATGAAGAGCTCGGTCCTTGCTAAGTGCTCCCCCAAACACACCCGGTGCCCTGCAGAGGGTAGAAGAAAGGACAGTGAGTAAATAAACCTGATCCCAATAGCAACTCTATTCATCCTCACACGGTGCAAATGTATTTTTGCCGAGTCCAGAATTTCTGTAGGACTTAATGCAATCAATGACACAAAGCTTCATTCATTCCTTCAAAGAATTTTATCTGCAGCTATAGATAGCCGTGTAACCCTTCTGCTCCCTTCAATTACCTCAAAGGCTCATCTTCATTTGACTGACAACTTTAAAGGAATTCATTCCAGCATGTAAATGAAGAATAAAAGCCTGCTTTTCCTGGGAGGTGTCATGTTCTAGTGTTGAATGCATAAAGAATCAAGAGGACTGCTTGAAAGTGCTTTCTATACAGATGTCTGGTATGAAATGAGTACCTGAAATTGATAGCCACAACCATTAGCAGAGAATTTCCTTCCAAAAATAGGGTAAGTTAGATACACGTTTGTCAGGACACCTCTGATTTTCCATGTTATTATTTGTTCAGTAGAACATATGTTACTAAAAATAATCATGTTGATTTAAGCACTGTTTTCCACAAAAAGGTTTAGAATAGACATTCAATAGGTTTTTAATAGACATCTTCATTCTACAGTCCCAATTCAAATTGTTGATGTTTGTGCTGTAGCCCACTTACCTATTGAGAATGGCAAAAAGGCTTCTTGGGCCACAAAGTTTCCATCCTTATCCAAGAAGTGACCAGGGTTGAACTGTCGAGGTGTTTCCCAGTGCTCTGGGTCATACAAAGATGAAGCAATATTTGGAAGAACTATGGTGCCCTGAAAGGAGAAAAGCATTCATTCTGTTCCTTGTTCACATTCAGACTGTGACCCAAAGGCATCCAGCCCCCTCTCTATTGAAGAAAATACTCTGGCACAAACAGATTTTAATCCACACCTTGCTCTGCTGATGCAGGAAAAGTCTGTAGCAACTGAGAAACTGTGTCTGTACCTTTTTGAGGGGAAAGCCAAGCAAGGTTGTGTTCCTCACACACACCCTGGGCATGCCAACTGAAATGATGTTGCTGAAGCGCTGGATCTCGTGAACCACAGCGTTTGTGTAGGGCAGTTCTCTCCGATCCTCATAGCAGATTAACTTGGAGGGACCCAGAACAGCATCCAGCTCCTTCTGCACTTTCTCTGTGGAAAATATTCACTGTTTCAGGTGGAAAAACATATCAAGTATTTTCAGTAATTTCATTTTCAAAGACATTTCCAACTTAGAACTATGATAACAACATAACAATTAATATAGAAAAGTAACTAATGTTTTATGAAGAAAATTATAAAGTAGCAGGATGTTCCAACAGCTTAAACATATGCGAACTCTGCTTCTGGCTCTGAAGTTATTTGATCATAGAATAAGAAAAGATATTTGTTGCCCAAAAATTTAAAACTAAGTGTTGCCTTACTACCACAAATCCAAGAGATAACAGATTTATCTTTGGGGTTTTTTTTTGCCTAGTTGCCTCAAACACCTGCAGCCAGTTAGAATATTAGGCTCACAGCTCTCTGAAATTTATGCCAGATGAGTCTGAGCTTTTAACGTGTATTTGCTTTTTAAAGGACATGGTTCTTACACAGGGCATCTGTTAAGTGAAGCAATGCCAACTAGAACAAGGTCAAAATACCATTTAAAGAAATGGATCTACTGCTTGGCATCTGCCTTTTAATCAAGAACAACAAGTTTTAAATTTCTTATTGCATGGGAGTCTTGGGGACATTACCAAAAATAAAATCTTTGGTTTATAAACTTCAAGAGAGGCAGTACATACCTAATAAAAATATCTTAGATTTTTAATAAATGATCCTGTCTTTTTCCAGGCCTTTTGAAGCAACAGTAAGATGCAGGGAAGTCCTTTCTGCATTGATCAATCTGTGCCCATTCACATCAAGCCTGCCCTATGACTGCCAGTAGCCCTTCATTAAACTGACAACAGATATTTAAGCACCTCACAGAATTTAAAATAAGTGTTCAGAAATATTTTTAAGTATACTTCCTTCTATGAAGAACTATTTTGCAGAAGCACTTGAGAATCCAGGTAGTTTGAAGTAATCAGTCACTGCATAATATAAACACACATTTCTAGGAGTGAAACACTGTCACTGGATGTCAACATGGGAAAAGTATGAATGGGTTCAAAAAGAAGCCACCAATTATGAAATGAGGACAGACATACTGGTGTCAGGTCATTCTGAGAGCCCTGATGCAATGTATTACTCAAGAAGCCCAGGAAGGATCACTCTGCACATACTCTGCTTTCTCAAATAAGTGCAATATTTAGCTAAATAAAATTATACAGGTGAGTCAGTGCTTTCATAACCTTAATTAGAGTAAGTGATAACAAAACATATGATAGTGTGAGATTAAGCAGAATTTCTTGTCTGACACTACAAGTTGACCAAATTCTTCTCATCTTCATCTCTTTCATCCATTTAAAATCGTGTTCTCCTCTGGGTAGTTGCACACATTCTGCAACCTAACTGTGAAATTTCTGTTACCCAGCAAAAGACATCCTTCTTCCTTTGGATTTCATTCAGTGCTCTATGAAAGAGATTGGTGGTTATTTAAAAATTAGACTTAAAACTAAACTTCTTAAATACACACAGATGTAACAGAAGAGCCATCTGTTTCCACTCCTGACTGGAATAATTTCTGGTACAATAAACTCAAATACATCACAGAGTTAATTTAATCCCTGGATCTAGTGATGCTGCCTAGGGCAGACCTACAAGTACAAAAAGGTACATGTGCCACTAGGCATATATCAGTATCTAGAAATAATCTCTGATCCATGAAAATGTTACTAATTGTTTCTTCTATTGCATGGGAGATGGGCTTATCTATTGACCTTGGATGTCTGGATTTGCCACCATGTAGAGCAGGCCCCAGTTCAAAGTAGTGCTTGATGTCTCTGATCCACCCAAGAAAAGGTCATTTATGGAATAAACCATGTTGTCTTCATTGAATGTTGATCTGGGTTCATCTTTGGACTGCAAATTATAAGAAAAGTTAGAGGCTTATACATGAAAGTTAGAAAAACCAGAATAGGAATAAATGTGATTTTGTAACTGTTTCTAAGCTGCAGTGTCTTCTCTTTATAGGACAATACAGAAAGACTGCTAAGGAATGTTAGACACCACAGATGGCTATCAACACAAAACTTAACATTTCACAAACAGACAAGCCATGTTTATTCCACTCTTACTCATGAAGCTAAATCAAATTCTTTGGGGGGAAAAAAAAAAGGATTATTGGCTTAATGTTCAAACAGTGGTTAATTTAGAATGTTTCATAGTAAATCTTCCTTTAAAGATGCATACCAGCATGTCATTCTTCATGTCTCAAGTCACAGTCCACCACTCAGTTGTTCTACCAAGCAATACAATGACCAGACAGTGAACACTGGGCTGAGGAAAGTTCTTAACCTGTGGCATTCAGGTTTCTTCTACACAAAGGCACAATGACTCATGTACAGCTGCTCTGGGGTTTCACAGTTTTCAATTAGGAGTGTGAGGATGTGTATGTATACACTGAAATTGTAAATAAACACGGTTATGGTTTGGGGGAATTCATTGTCTATATTTAGGGAGGTTTTGCTCAGGGGTGTTGAACCTTTCTCTTGCCAGTGGAGCAATTGAAAGGAGTGATGCTTCTCCCTGCTGTAATATCACCTAATTTTTTTTTAATTGCCCCTGTTCATCTATTACAGGCAGTTCAAATTTTTTAATAAACAAACTTGGATGATTTCCACCCAGCAGAGTCCCAGAAGAGCTCACTGAAACAATTTCTGGTATACTGATGTTCAAGTCTCATAAATCCTAGAACAGCAATGAAAGGATTTAGAAATAGCCAAATGCTTTGGAAGGCCAGGTCTGTTACTGTGCTGATATAAAAAAAGAAATTAAAACAAGAGGATCCAAGGAGCTAGAAGCCATTTAGGCTGACATCCACACTGGACATAAGAATATACCAGCTGATGTGGGAATTGATCAATAAATAATTGTCAGGGAGAGGTAGGTGAGTGCTGCAGCCCAACAGGTTGTGGCTGTCTCTGTTGCTGCTACCAGAACATGACAGTGGTGAAAGGGACACCGGTGTCCCTGCAGGACAGCACTGCCACCAGGAACAACAGTCACTGCCCACTTCCCCGAGTTCTGTCTTCCTGCCACCAAACAGAACAGGAAGAGGAAAATATCCTATCATAGTGGAGGAGAGGAGAAAGGAGAAGTGATTTAAGTGGAGGTAGGAGTCACAGAGGGGAAGGGATCAAGGCTGGGATCCAGTACCCAAGAGATTCATACAAGGTGACCCTGGTATGGTGTAGAAAAGGGACAGATCTTGTGCACCCCTCCTACAGCCCTTCACAGCCCTACAGATTCCCCCCTACCTCTACTACACCTGCCTGACCAAAATGCCCAATTTGTCCCAGTTCCTTTGCTTGACACTTGGCTGGCCCTGGCACTCTCCTCTTCTCCAGTCTTGTCTGAAACACTGCTGACTCCTATGTTATTAATCCAGCTGTCCTCTTGCAAATTCTCTTGGCAAACCTTTACCTGTGAATATCAGAGCATCCCTCTCTATCTTCCAAAGGCCTTCCCAGTTCTCTCGTTGTTCACTTAATAATTCATTATTCTTTCCTGGAGACCTTCAATTGTTTTACAACTTGTGCCAATGAAAAAAAAAATACAGTGTATTAACCTGCCCTTTAATGAAAGGATTGCAGGGCACTGTGGCATATCAATGATTAGAATTTTAGGAAGATCCTGGATATTGGATTCACATTACAATGTCTAGAAAGGCAAGAGATTGTGTGGATTCAGACTGGTTGTGATGATTCAATGGCCCATGTTGACCTTTCCCCCCATGACTGTATGATTGGGCAGAAAAAACTTACTTTTTCAATGTGATCCAGGTAGAAGTCAATAAAATCGTGCAGTTCCTCGGGTGCCCCACGCTCTGTGTGCATTTGGATCTCTCTCCGTGTAAAGTTGCTCAGCACATCATAACAAGCCAATGCCTTCTGATGAGGCCCAGGGAGATGGCTCATCAGCCAGGGGAAGATTTCATAGAGCTGTGGGAGTGACACACGAGAGGTCCTGCAAAGTCTCTATCACAAGAAAATGCACTAGGAAGGCCTGCTACAAAGAGAGGTAATAGTCATGTTACCTTGGGATTAGGGTCTCATTAATCAAATATCCTGACATAGACTGCACTTGGGCTTTCAAGTTGTGAAAAGTAAATGATATAATTTCTAGTTTTGATGGTAAGATTCAGAATTCCACAGGCTTTCAGCTCAATCACAAGCCAAATTAGAATTACTGTAACTGGAATGAATGGTATTCATCTATGCAGTTTTTCGCGTCTTCAATTGCTATGAACTGCACTCAGGAAATTTAAAAGTGAGCTCCTGCCCTCCAGTGGAGAACACCGGGAAGGGAGAAACAAAAGTTGGAAACTCCTCACCAGGATACTTGCCAAAGCAAGGACTGGCCCCTGGTGGCTGCTTTACAGGCTGGGTAACACCCAAAGTACTCTACCAATCGACCTCTCAAGGTTCCTCTGTAAAATTTCAAATATCTGAAATCCAGAAAAGCTAAGGAACAGCTACCTGGAAATTTTGAGTGCTCTTCTCTAGAAAGAAAGACAAGGTTAGCTGACACAACCAGATTAGTTTTTCCTTCTGTGTTACCATTTGAGAAAATCTGGCCTAAGAAATAGCTGATTTTGACCTATTCTGATAGCTAGAAAGTTAATTCTGGTTCCCAGCCTACATTTATGCCTGTGTAATCTGTATATTCTTGTACCTGCAAGATACAACGTTCTCTTAATAGTTCTTTTTCTGTTTAAAATATAATTCCTGTGTTTATTTAACAGCAGAATTTTTATCCTTTCTCAGCCTTCATTGTACTGAGCTCTTCTTGTACTCTCTTAATCACGCTACAGAAAGCACGTTATTAGGTGCTCACTGGAGTGTGGTTGAATTAGACTATACTTGTGTCTTCTTGGGAAATCAGTTCTTATTGTCAGACATCCAATTATCAATTAATGATTGCCTTATCACAACAAAACAAACAAACAAACAAACAAAACCCCTACTAGTCCAGTCCTTGGTAAATTCACTTTAAACTTCATATTATTTTTGGTTAGTTCCGTCTCTGGTATTTTTTTACTTGCAAAATGTGTTCAGAAGCCTTAGACACAACTGTGGTCTGACTAATCACATAAAGTTGCCCAGAATACAGACATTCCTACTCCCAAATGTCTGCCCTCTCCAGCACTATGGCACTCTAACTGTAAATGGAATTTAGCTGTCTGTTCAAGACAGGAACTGTGTCCATCCAACTTCCTGGGTACTGGCCAAAACTCCTCCACTATTTATGGAGAGGCCCAAACCACAGTGTCCCCCTGTTCAGTGCCTGACAGCATGAGACCAAAACAGGAAACAGGGATATGGATGCAGCAATATCCACTTTTTTGTATAGTACTGTGTAGTTGTTGCATCTGGGAGGTGGGAAGATGATGGCAATCCCTCTGGAATGGTTTGAACCCCTGTTCTTATTTCCCCAACAGTATCTTATTCCTGGACTAAATCAAATCACAGCCAGGATAGGAAGTAAAGAAGAAAAGGAGGTATGTTCTCTGTCCTAAAATTAGGTGCCATCTGCCACCATTACATTCAACTTACAGGACCAAAGCTTAACGAAGAAAAAGGAAACCTGACCATAACCCAGTGAGAAGAATGTTCCAAGGGATGTGGGGAGACATCAGTATTCCAGGAATTGCTTATGTATTCTATATTAACAAGTTACTCATAAGATGTATGGGACAACTTCAGCAGTGGAACTAGAACCAAAACTCGCAGGAAATTTTTTTATTACTACAGTGCATAGCAGGCCTCTACTGTCAGATGTATTGCTGACTCCCGGATTGTTTCATTGCCAAGCTTGCAGTTGTATTTGCTGTCTTAGCATTTCCTGCCTCCTGCTGCCTGTGCCTGGAGCTGCTCCTCACGCAGGGTGAAGGAGAAGAATTTCTCTAGGAAGGCTTCAAGTCTGTGTCTTACAGAAGGAATGGAGATGAGTAGCCACAGGCAAAACACCTTAGCATTTGACTCATTCCTCTCTCTGTTGACAGCATATAGAACAGTGTCTAAACTTGGCACGTGAGCCACCCTTTCAGACCTGATATTTAATATTTGGGAATCATGATGTCCAAAGTAGGAATCTGTGGTGGCAGGGGCTGAGAAACCAAGTAACAAACATGACCCAGGAGCAGTCCATGAACCTGTGCCTTATTGCAAAGATTTAGGGGCAAACTACCACAGTACCAAACACAGGAGACGAAGCACAAGTGCCTGAGGCTGGCATGTGGAGCTTCACCATCACACTTTGAGAGAGTTCACTGCCCAGTAAAACTGGGGCATCACTCACTCATTCTAAAACTTTTGCCCAATAGCTCTTGAATCTGTATTTCTCACTCTCTGTCTTATTCAGAAAAATACAACAGATATTTCACTTACATGATGGATAAAGCTGCCCCCAAACTTGAAGAGATGTTCTGTAGCTTTAATTAGCTCATGAAAGGCCTCATCCTCTCTGGAGAAACGATGTCCAAACACGACAGCACAAATTACATTTGAGACAGAATGGACGAGAGGGAAAGAAGGATCCACAGGTTTCCCTGCAGCCATAACAAAAAATATCACTGTTAATGTCTCCTACTTTAGTGAAATGTGAGAATCCTTTTAAGTTACCCACAGAACTTTGAAGAAGGCATTGCATTTCACAGAGAAGCAGCAATATTTTTGCAAAATTGTGATATCAAACTGATTCCTCACAACCACGTTGCAATCCCATAAGCCCAGGAATGTGTGGCACCCTAAAGAAATGCCAGATGTGTAAAATATTGCATCATATGATAGAGTAAATTTAGAGGTAAAGGAAAAAAATTGTATGCAAATTTGCTTTCTGGCAAAATCAAAATATGTCTTAAACATGGGAATGACTGAGAACACTATGGACAAAGGGAACCTGAGGGTATAAGGGCAAGAAGAGCTCCTTGCTTTATTCAGCAAGGACACAGAAGCATGCAAGGCTACTGTGTTTTGTCTGACCTTTCTAGAGACATACAACCTCCAGTAACATAAAATGTTGTAAACTCCTCCCAACCAATTGTGTCAACAGCATAATAACTAATTTTAAAGCAGTTATTTGAAACCTAATCCCATGAAAACTATTTTGTGACTGTGGAATATTGACATATTTCTGTACGTGTTGATGCAACTGCCCAACAGCCAAGGCATGATTCTGATTAGCAACTTAGTGTTTTGGGCTTTTTCCTTGCACACATGATCACATCTCAATCTCTCCTAGCTCTTAAACCATGGGATTGGGCTCTATCTAATTATTTTTAATTTATACAACACTAGCCACAGCATGTCCTGACTTATTCTGCCTTTGCATAATAATCAGTGTTGGGAAATCCAACTCACATGATCCTAACTGGGTTGATCAGAGTAGAATCTTGTAATGAAGACAATATTCTAGTCAGTGATTTATGGAATGTGTGCAAATGGCATTATAAGGCTTAACTCATTAGCATTGGTTTTGTCTCTTTATGCACCAGAACCACAAAAGAGCCAAAAACGTGTCCTTGAGGCAAAGGCCAACATCATCCTGGGCTGATTTAGGAAATTAATTGCTGGCAGGCCAAGGGAGGTGATCCTTCCCCTCTGATCAGCACTGGCAAGACCCAGCTGAAGTGGTGGGTCCAGCTCTGGACTCCCCAGTATGAGAGACCTGAGAGTATTAGAACAAGTCGAGCTAAGGGCCACAAGAACAATTAAGGAATTGAAGCATCTGGCATAAGAGAGGCTGAGAGAGATGGACTATTTAGTCTGGAGAAGGGAAGACTTAGGGAGATATCTAAGTATGTATAAATATGTGGTGGAGGGGTATAAAAAACATAGAACCAGACTTTTCACAGTGGTATCAAATGGGGCAACAGGAAAAAACATAAATGCATTAAATTCTGCATAGACACAAGAAATGTTTTTACTACAGTACTCACTGAACAGTGGAACTGGTTACCCAGAGAGGTGGTAAAGTCTGCATTGCTGCAGATATTTACAACTCAGCCCTAAGAAACCTGCTCAGATTGACCCTTCTTTGAGCAGGGGTTAGACTAGGCCATCTTCAGAGACCCCTTTCCACTTAGGGTGTTCTATAATGTAAATAATAAATAAGCTCCAGTTTTTCCTTCAATTTTAGTAGTTTTGTAAATAATTTTGAGTAAGAATAATCTCCTTGAAAACACAAGAGGGACTGGAGGCTTTCCATTTTCAGTCCATTCCACACAGACAGTGTAAGACCCTGCACATTCTCTTGTGGAACAAAAGCTGCCCTCAGTTTCAGGACAGGACAGAGAAGTTCTTGTACTAAAGACATTCAGACTAATGGCAAAAATGTAGTGATATTTATTGCAGAAATACCTTTCATACTTGCAAAGAAGTCTACCAGGTAGTGGGCTTCTTCTTGAACTCGGTGCTCCAGACCTCTTTTCCCCAGACCAAGGTTGCGTAAAGTCCTGAGAGCAAACCTCCTCTGCTGCTTCCAGGTGTGACCAGTTGCTAACATAATTCCTGCATCCATTAAAGGAAGAGCTCCTTATCATGCTAATATTAATCATAGACAAAGACTACATTGAAGGATTTACTAAGTCACAGAACATAGTTAACCTGTTGCATTGCCTGTGAACACAAAGGCACCAAGGGAGAGCTGTGACCTGTAATCACGTTAACAAGGCTGAAACGGGCAAACTCAGCTGGGTAATGAGATAACTTGCAGGATTAAGTTTGATCCCAGACAATCAGATACCTCAGGATATCTCAGCTACTTCTCTTGATGCTCTTTGCAGTGCTTGTCTCACACTCTGTGCTACGCCTGAAACTCACCTGAATCAGGGTAATGATTCTCATGAAGGAAAAAGGGGAAAGAGTTTTGACTGTCCACAGTCAGGGAGAAAATTTCCTGTCTGCGGGGCAAGAAAGTTCAGTATTTAGGCTTTGTGACAGGCTTCGGGAATTTCCAGTGTGTTTGCTGGTATGAAACCTACAGCAAGGTTGAAACAGAAACACACTGAAGTTCTAGGTGCAATGTGCCATCAGGAAAACATTCACAAAAGGAAGGGAATGGGAACAAGATCTCACTGTCAAAGTCACTCTTCCATAGAAAATATCATAGTGGGAGGCAGCGTGCCCAGGACAAGGAATTGGGTTTTTGCCTGCTTTTCCTCCATTTCTCTGTGGCACAACTTACCATTGCCACATCTAATCACCTCTGAATCTGCCCCAGTGAGTATTCCATAGAAGATATTATGAATCCTTTTCTTCTTGCTAGTATTTTCCTCCTGCTACTCTCCAAAAGCTATTTCACCTCTCTGTACCTTGCAGTTCACCTGGCAGTCGTTCCTCCTAGAGAAACCCTGCCTCTGTGCTAGAAGGTCACAAGCTACAAAAGATACTGCAATTTGTCAAGATGACACTTCTGTGCACTATTTATGCCAGGAAATTCTCACCTTTTCCTTTGGCCATTGCTCTGAAGAAAGGTGACACCAGCCTCCCAGAAACATCTTCAGGGTGTGTGGTCATGCCATCCTTCACTGCTTGAAATCCATTCAGTATAACCACTGGGGCCCATCCAAACCATAAGGTGAATATGTTGCCATGAATTTTTGCCAGCTAGAGATGGGAGAGAAGCCAGGAAAGCACAAATGAAATCCCACACACTGCAAACAGATGATGAACCTGTTTTTGCACTGATTGCAGGACCAGCCCTAAGGTGGAGTGATGTTCTCCATCTTTCCCACCAGACTGGAATTATCACTGAGAAAGCATGAATGTCTTTTCCATCTTTCACTGCTGGAAACACCTGTGTATTCCCACTTCTCAGAGCCACATGCCTACGTCAAGAAACATTATGTACCTTTTATTAGTGTATGTAAGGCAAGGCTCAGTTCACAATCATTCATGGGATAAAGGGTATTTTCTATTTATTAATTTATTTCAAGAGGGTTTCTATCATTTGCACAAGTAAAGTAGCACAAAAGAACACAGAACTGTCAGAGGAGTAATTAGCTTAGAGACTGGACTTTCTTCTTTCCTCCTATCTGTTTTTGATCTTGTCAATACAAACAAGCTCATACAAATAGAGTGCAGGGAATTATCCATTTACTGCTCAAGCTAGAGAGTGCCAGTGTTCAGAAAACTACAGATCCATGCTGTGAAAGTAATTTTTTAATAGTATTTTTCCCTTAACTCCAAATCTGATCTATCAGCCCTAAAGATATTTAATCCTAAATTATATAAATTCTCACATGAATTCATCAAATTTAGTGGCAGGGGTGACGGAAGATATCAATTTTCACGCGAATTTCAGTGCAAATCAGAGTTAAAAGGGGATAGGTTTAAACACCAGAATGATCTTCACACATTCAGAAATTCCAATACCAAGTTTCTTAGCTTGGCAAACTACCTTACACTTCAATATCTTTTCCTTATTTTGCGAACCAAACCAGCAGTTCTGATCCAAACCAAGTGTGACACCACAGTGGCCAGTTAACAGTTACAGTACTACCGATGTAGCTTTGGGAGAGGATGTTTTGAGAGAGGAGAAAGAGACATGAGAAAGGAGAAATCACAAAGACTTTTAGGCAATTAGGAGCATCTGAAAATAAGTACCTTCATGAGGAGATCACGATTAAACTGAAAGTTCAGCTGTATCAGCGTCCCAAGGACAGGGAGAGGGACCGGTCCAGGAGGAAACCGTCTCCGCACTTGCTGCAACTTTAAAAACTGTGTGATTAGAAGAAATACAGCCACTGCTACAAGAACTTGACTTATGGTCAACATTTTGCTGCCTTTACCAGCTTGCCTTTATTCAAAATTATCTGTTGAAGGTATTAAGGCTGGTTGCTAAACCAGTTTTTTCATAAGAGCTTGAATTCACATAAGTATTCCCCACCTCTCACCCTCCCTCTTTATTATCAGCCACTCCCTTTTTGTTCTACTTATTGCATTCTCATGCTTCAGCATATTAATAGATGCACACCCTTCTTCTTCTTCTCATCCAGATTATACTTATTCAATATGGATCACAAGATTTATAGGAATGGTGTCTTAAAAGACTATGGCCAAGATTTTCCAGGCAATGGGGATACACGTAGATTCTCCATCTAGGTTTTCTGAGACAATTTTGAATGTTATGTGTACTCCAGGAATGCTTTTAGAAAAGCAATAGCCATACATACAAATTAAGCAGGCAAATGTAAGTGGATATTAAATCTTGGAGTTTTTAAATTGGTTTGTATATATTCCATGTACACGTTATATCTAGTAATGGCAAGGCTGATAGAAGTTAAAAGCCCACATTTATCTTAAGATACGTATACAACTATCTAATTCTTAATACAAAAAGCAAAATTTGTTACACTTTTGAATGTAATTGAAAACATAACTGGATCGATGTATGACCTCACTTTTTTCCCTAACCTGTTAGCACTAGGTAAACTCATGGAGGATTTTGTCTGCTTCTGCATCTCCCCGTTCAATCTTGACATAAGGTGGATACCCTATATGATTTGAGAAATCATCAGAAAGTGAGATAAATAATGCATATTCCTAGAGAACGTACATCTAGTATTAAATACACAGATTTAAAAGAAAAAAAAATTAAAACATGGGAAAAACCTAATAGGGATCTCAAGCTACCTCCAGAACGAAGAGCCCCAGCAAGAACTAGTCATGACATGAGTGTGGATCCTTGGTAACTTGAAAACAGAGTCTGTAGCCAAGGCTCTTTGCCAAGCCTCAACACCAGCAGGAACCACAAGTACATCACATGGGGAGTTCACATGCTGCAATCAGACCATGGAAACCTCACAAGAGGGGTTCTGGCCACCACATAGCCATGACCATTGCAGTCCCTTGTTACAGATCCAGACTGAAATGCTTCCCTGTGAAAATTGCCCATGCCTTGAGAGCAAAGCACTTGTAAAAGAAACGTGTTTTCACTCATCTTCTGAGAAAACTGCCACATCTTTGCACCATCTCGCTTCTTGCAAGCTGACTTTGAGAAAGAAGCTGTTTCCAGATTTTGTGGCTCTGGAACACAGAAGACCCTTATCCAGAAGGAACAGCCTGGAGTCTGCCAGCACATAGTTTACAAGCCCCCAGGGCAATCAGCCTTCAAACATAGCTCTTCGTTACCACTAATGCATAACTGATATTAATATGTATTAACCAAGGGATGTTTGTAGGTTTCCACATAAGCTTTCTTTGTGTACATTAAAAAGGTGATTTTTCAAAACAATAATTTCTAGTTTATCTCTCTCCTTTAATAGGGAAAGTAAAATTCTCTTTAAAAAGAAATGTGTTAAGTTTTGCTTCCTCTGTCTCCAGTGTAATCTCACAAACTCTGCTTCAAATTCCCTGATTTATTAGAACTTTTAATCTGGAATCAATATAATACACTCCCTTTTCTTTCAGATATTAGAAAATTTTCCATCTAAATTATTTTTCTTCAGGAAAAGTAACTTTTTTTCCAGTGGAAGTTAATCCCCAGTGCCTTCACCCCACAAGGGCTGCAGTCTCACACCTTTAACTTGTGTTCAGCTGGAGCCATTTTTCTCATACTGGAAAAGGAAGGTGACTCTGGGTGGTTTCAGATCTGAGGCATGGCTCGATTTTCTTAATAATTACTAAATGCAACCACCAGCAGCATTTCTTCAGCACTATCTACCAGCTATTATTTAGGATTAGTGATTTTTAACAAGCAACTGCTGCGTCCCCTCCAGGATCCAGATGGAATCATTCTCTTGCCAGTGTGGAGCTACTGCCAGGGGGATGTTAGCAGGTCTAGTATGAGGGAATTTCATACCAACCACCCACCTGCCAGGACATGCTGGACATAGGTAGAACCATCCCATAAGGGCAATCCTGCAGGGAGAGAAACTGCCAACCCAGGTTTCATCCTGTATGCACATCCCTGCCTGTTAGACTGGGGGGCTTTAAAATGCAAGGTGGGCAGAGGCACTTGAAACAAATACAGCTGTGACAATGATGTCAGTCCTGGAGATGGCACTGCCAGCTAATCAGAGTATAAAAATAATCCTTCCCGTGTTGGCATGCAGTATCCAATTTGTACCTCATACAAGAAGACAGTGTCCCAATGTAATACAAGAAAATCCCTTGTTAACTTCCAGCAAAAAACCAGCAAGAAACATCCACTTTTTCCAAGTCCTTAGGCACCTGTCTCATAAAGGGCTTCCAGAATTCTTCAGTAGTGCCAAATCTGCTCTTGGGCATGGTGTGCTAAGTGAAGTCATCTAACTGTGAAAAAGAATCCGTTTAATAAAATGAAAGAATAAATGGAGCTGAATAAATTTTTGTAGGATCTGGAGCAATCATCCCAAGTAGACTAACTGGCATGAAGAAGTTCTCATGTCGCTGGCAACCAGTGGGCTCATAAAAAAGGATAAATTATCAACACTCTCTCCCTGCTCACTGTTGTCATTTTTCTTCCAGTCTTTGCTCTTTGTTTGCAATATGAAAAGCTCTCCACAACTGCCTGATGAAGCCACTCTTCTGTTTTCATCAGAAGGATTGAAATGCTGCCTGGTTTGGTGGGTGAAACCCTGAACTGTCTTCCCAAGTGACAATGAATCAATAGAGTTGTATACAACAGTCTTGCTCAACAGCAAACCATATCAGTCTAAGGGAATGTTAGATCACATTATCTGCCTCTAGAAAGCTTCCTCCACCTCCTGCACCCACTAATATCCCAAGACAGACTGGAAGACCTCTGAGCCCATCCCCACAAATGCAACTGTGGCTTATGGGAATGAATCTTTATTCATGAGATTTCCAATTTATAGCCCATGTTTCAAGATTGTTCTCTGTAAAACTTCTTTCCAGTTGGTAATAATTAAGTCTCGATTCTAATTCTTCCCTTAATGTCTTTATTTGTTACACATCAGGAGAAGTTTACCAGTATTTTCCAAACAGAAAAAAAAGAACAATCCTTTCTAATTATAATAATAATTGCTCAGGATGCAACTGCATCAAGAATCTTTCAGGGTGGTGATTAACCAAATGAAGAGGAAAGCAAAAATCTTAGGACATTCATAGAACTGCTTAGGACAATCTTAGGACTGTTTCACATACAGAAGCAGTTTTACAGAGTGACTCTTCCCTGAATTTGCCATTTCCTATCGAGGAATGGCACAGAGCTGGTAGGGAGGTGGCTTCATTGTGCTCCCAAAAACAAACTTGGTGTTGACTTCCTTCACTCCTTCTGGCAGGGTGAATGTGAATGCTTGCAGCAGGGTAGAAAAGACAATGAAGAGCTCCATCCTTGCCAACAGCTCCCCCATACACACACGGTGCCCTGTGAAGAAACAGAAAAGGCAATTCAGCCAAAGGATTTCTATCACACCTCCCTTTGTAAACTGCCTGGAATTTTCTTTGCTTGTTTTCTGCAGGTTTTATCCTTTTCTCTTAATTTGTCATTTAATGATTCGTAACTGAAAGGCTGCTTGTATTGCCGCAAAAAGTTTCAATCTACATTTACAGCAAGCAGTAAGACATTATAGGAATTGCCACCAGGCAATAGATGTATAATTTACATTTATAGTCTTCCCAGCACCATGCATTTTTCTGCTACTGTTTTGATAGCTGGATCTCTTCTCAGAGAGAAACTGGATCTGTCTTCCAGGAAAGACTTCTCTATGTGTCATTCCTTCTCTGCCATTCTTTTCCACATACAACTGGACTTCTCTCTTCTTGGAGATCTTTAAAACAGTTTGCATATGCCCATTTGTAGGTGCCTTCCCAGTGATTTTGGGGAATGAATGGATCTGAAGTTGTTACCACAAGGTGTAAATAAATCCCTGTTCAGTGCACTTACCTACAGCAAATGGTAAGAATGCTTCTCTGTTTACAAAATTTCCATCTTTATCTAGAAAGTGGCCTGGGTTGAACTGATCAGGTGTCTCCCATTTTCCAGGATCAGCCAGAACAGAGTCAATATTTGCTAAAACTACAGTGTTCTGAAAAAAAGGAGCAGCGGCTTCAGTAAAAAACTATGACAGTAGAATCTACTGATACCTAGGACAAAGCCTTGTGAAAGGCCATCCACAGAGACGGTCAAACTGCTAGAACAGGAGTTCATGTCCCCAGCTGGAAAAACTTCAGTAGCCTTTCTAAAATCCTCTAATGGACCAAAGATCAAATTCATTCAAATATGCAGCACATTTGTACCTTTGGAATGTGATATCCCAGCAGCTCCGTGTCCTTCAAACTCATTCTGGGCAGTGCAATTAAGATTATGTTGCTGTATCGCTGGATCTCGTGAATTACAGCATTTGTGTAGGGCAACTTTTTCCTGTCCTCATAGCAAAATACGTGGGAACAACCCACAACAGCATCCAACTCCTTCTGGACTTTCTCTAAGGAGGAATATTCAGCTTTTAATATATAGCAAACAATCTGTAAACTCTATAGTCATAATTTTTCCTGTTGTTTTTTTACAGTAAGAATGGCACTCAACCAGATGAAAAAGATACTTTATAAAAAGTAATGCCTTCAAATTCCTATATAGATGACCTGAAAAAAATTGGCATTGAGGGTGCTTATAGGTTGCACATATAGTTTTAAAATAACGATAGCAGATGAGGTCATTCTATATTAATGTGTGGGTTCCTGTTACATTTACCTCTCTAAGGTAATTTATAAAAATACTTTTATTAATATATTTTCTACAGGCAGGGAGTCAACTGGAAAAAATATTAATTGTGTGTTAGGGGAACAGTTTAGTAATTGATCAAGGATTATTCTTCATTAAGAAGCACATC